TCACAGTCACAGAAAGGCTGTGAGATGGAGGCCGGGATACCGTTGCTGCAGCTATTTTGGGGTAATTCCCTCTCGCTCTCTCTTTCTCTCTCTCCCCCTTCCCTGTCTCCCACTGTTTCCCTGGACCTCGGTGCTTCTCTGACCCTGCCTCTCCCTCTCTGCCCCCCTCCGCTCACCAGTCTCTCCCCTCGGTCTGTCCCTGTGCGTTTGCCCATCCCTCTCTCTGCAGAGGGACCAGAGGGACTTCCTTGGCTCTCTCTCAGCTTCTGCCTCGGCCATCAGTCTCACTGCGTTAGAAATTCCAGCCTGACCCTGCATGACCAGTGACCAGCTCAGGCATCTGCCTCCCCCTTGGGTCTCTCAGGTCACATCCTGGGGACAGAGCCCTGGCCAGCCAGTCGGCCGCAGGCAGGTTCCTCCGGCCCAGGAGCCCCTGCTCCAAGGCTGCGCTCTAACGGCCACACTGACCGGCAGAGTCCGGCCACCGGGGTAATTAAAAGCCTTGACCGTGGTCTGTAGATAAGGAGGTTCCCCTCACGCACACAGTGAGTGGATGGTTTGTCAGAAGAGGCTCTACTCAAATCAGTAAGAAAAAAAAGAGCCGGCGGGTCTGTGGGAGCAGACGCTGCGGGCGCCCGGTGGCTCTGGGCCGGGAGGTGAGACAGAGAGCCTGTGAGTTCTGTCCCTTGCCTGATGCAGGGCAAACTGAGGTGGGATTCACGCTTCAGGGCCCCTTCCATGTCCCGCAGCCACTCCCTGCTCCACTCCCCAGAGCACTGCCTTAATAAATCACTTGCACACACATCCTTGCCTTCGAGTCTGCTCTGGGAACAAGGAGTTGGTTCCCATGATTGTGAAGGCTGGCAAGCCTGAAACCCAGGCTGTCAGCCCAGAAACTCAGGCAAGAGTTGGTGCTCTACTCTAGTCTTGAGTCCAAAATTTGGAGGGCGGGCTAGCAAGCTGGAAAGTCAGACAAGGTTTCTACACTGCAGTCTTGAGGCAGAATTCCTTTTTCTCAGGGAAACCTGTTTTTGGTTTGAGGCCTTCGACTGATTAAAGTCAACTGATTATGGATGCTAATTCCATTTGTAAAATACCTTCACAGCAAGACTCAGATGGCTGTTTGATCCAATAACCTGCACCATGACCTAGCCAAGATGACATACAAAAGTGAACCATCACACTCACCAAGACATCTAGATATTGAGATGTCACGGATGGGGTGGTCTTCAGGAACAGCTGGATCCAGGAGCTCAAAGTCTGGCCCTAGGTATCATCCATCTCCAGACTTGCTTTCCTCTGTGTGCAGCCTCCACCGTGACAGTTTCTTCTGTGTTGCGTCACCACAGGCCTTCAAGCTCCTAGTTTAGTAACTGCAGGACAAACCTCCCAGTCCACATCACCTATTGATCCCGGAGTATACTCTCACTGTCCTGCTGGGCCATGTGCCCACCACAAGGACTGGTGCAAGCCCATGGCTGGGTCCTCTGCCAGGGCCTGGAGTGAAGGAGGAGTTCCCTGAAGAACTGGAAAAAGGAGAGCGGGAAGGTGGCCAAAGCAGACAACCAAGCACACAGCTCGTCTTAGCTGCGCTGCTCAAAGAAGCACATTGCTTTGGTCACTTTCGTTTTCAGAAATTAATTTCCCCGATGTTTGAAGACAAGTGAATTTCTTTTATTTTCTCAGAAGTCGAAAGCCAGAAAACACATGCCATTCAACCGTCTGTGGACACTGAGATAGTCAGCTTCATCCAGGTGACACCAATGTCGCCCTCTCTGCTTTTCCCTGCAGCGGTCGGTCACACCAGGGTCAGGACCAAGGGCGCCTGCCCTGAACAAGGGCCCAATGGCAGGCTACTTCTGAATCCATAAAGCACCAGAAGAACACCCTGGGTTACAATTAATAAAGGTCATTGTTACTAGACGTGAACAAAGCCCGCCTTCATTTCTTTATTCGGTGGCCCATTTGGTGAAGCACTTAAGAAGTGCCCAGGCCAACATACACACATAATGGTTTTAATTACATCCTGTGAATTTATTTTTCCAGAGAGAAATATTTCTCAGGGAAATGTCCATAAAAGCAACTTTCGCAGCAGTGTGATTGTGTGTGTTTCCTAGAGGAAGTCTGTTTAGTTTAAGTCCCACTTTGAGCACAACTTTTTACAAAGACGGGGTCCCGAGAAGGCTGCCAAGAGCCCTGGAGATGGCGATGTCGTGTCCTGGGACACTGGGGGAGAGTGGGCATGCAGCCCGCCCCCCGTGGAAAGAAGGCGGGGCGGGTGGGGGCGGGGTCGTTCCACTGACTCCCTCTCCAGACCAGCTGTCGTGAGTTTGCAGGGTTATTTCCACACAGTTCTGCCTGCTGCATCACGGGCCCTTAAAGGAAATTCTCAAAGACCAGTTTTAGAAAGAAGGAAATGATCCCAGACGGAAGGTCTGAGATGCAAGAAGTAACGGTGAGCAGATACTGGTAAATATGTGAATAATTCTGACAAAGCTTGGCTGCCTGAACAGCAACAAAACATTTGCTTTGTGAGCTAAAAACCAGGATGAAAATAAAATGCCAGATGATATAGCACTTACGTTGGAGTCGTCCTTGTATTATTGGAAGAAAGTGAAGATACTGATCAATCTTAGACTTTGTGAACTGTAAGTACTAAAGTAGTTAAGCTAGTAAATTAAAATAAGATCCATATAATGCAGAACTTCCGACCCACACAGCTCTAAGAAAAAGAGAATAAACATTTTTTTTTTCTAAAATTAGGCCAAAAAAAAAACCACCCAAAAGTGGGGAAAACAGAGACCACTTAATAAGATAGAATAATAAATCTAAATGGAATAAATTCCCCAGATAAAAACAAAGGCTACGCAACTGAATGTTTATAAGAGACACAGTTAAAATATAAGAATTCAGATAGATTTAAAAGCAAAGGATGAAAAAATGTATCAAGGAGAAATCAATTAGTCATCACAGTGAGTGGGAGACTTCAGACAAAACGCCTCTCTCAGTAAGTGATGAATCAGGTAGGAAAAACACCCATAAGGGGACGGATTTGGACAAAATACTCAACACGTTTGACAGAATGAGCATACATAGATATAACATTGCACTCGACAGTTTGAAAGTACAGAGTCCTTTCAAAATAACATGAAAATAATAAGTGTGGGCGAGGTTGCAGGGAAACTCTGGAGCCCTGTGCACTGCTGGTGGGAAGGTGGCACGATGCAGCTGGCACAGAAAACAGCGTGGCGGGACCACCATGTGGCCCAGCAGTTCCAATGCTGTGTGTGTGTCCGAAAGAATGGAAAGCAAGTATGCAAATAGGTATTTGCACACCCACGTTCATGGCAGCACTATTTGCAGTAGCCAAAAGGCGAAAGCAGCCCAGGTGTCCACTGACAAGGCAAACGGGTAAACAAAATGTGGCCCATCCCTAGAGCAGAATACTGTTCAGCCTTAAAAATAAGTGAGATGCTGACCCGTGCTCGTGCATGGATGGCGCTTGAGGGCATGGTTCTCAGTGAAATAAGCCAGCCACAGAAAGACAAATACTGTGTGACTCCACCTACGTGAGGTCCCTAGAGCCGTCCAATTCATGGAAACAGAAAGCAGGCTGGGCGTTGCCAGGGGCTCGGGGAGGAACACTGGGGAAAGAGCGTTTGACAGGGACAGGGTCTCCATTGGGAAGATGAAGAAGATCTGGGGACAGATGGTGGGGACGGCTGCGCAGCAGTGTTAACGTGCTTAAGGCCACAGAAATGTGCACTTAAAAAGGTCCAACGTCGTAAATTTTACATTACGTGTATTTTGCCACAATAAGAAAAAAAGTGGGGATGATGACATGTCAAAATGTTTGTTAAGCTCAACAAAGAGATAAATTGTGAAAAAAATTCTCTGAAATTTTACGAAATTGCTCACATGCTCGGTCATAAGGCAGCCTCCACAGCTCAAGCCAGACTCGGGTCCCTTCCCCTCCCGTGATGCAGTCAAACCGAGATCAAAAAGATAAAGGGGGGGGCACATACTTGGTGGTAGGCCAAAGAAGAAATCAGTCTGGAATGAGGACGTTTGCAACTGACCCGAAGTGAAGCGTCTATTCAGTGAAATAGTCGTCAGCTCTTAAATCTCGGGTTGAGAGCGCACAGTGACAAGGGGGAAGTACAGTTGTGTCATTTCCTGAAAGTAAGAGGTCGACACCGCGCACCAAGGAAGCCACGTAGTCCCAACAGCATGAACACTGTGCGGCTGTGTGTGTGTTACCTACACGTGAAAGAGAGGGAGATTGTGAAAACAAATCGTCAAGGTGACAAAGCAGACACACGCCGGCAACCGGCGTCTGAGCCGCGCCTTGGGAGGCAGGCTCATACGTCGTGCTAATTTCCTTCTTGATGCAGTTTTCTAACTGAACGAACGTGAACTAAGTAAGTGGAAGTTTAAAACAATGAAGGTGGTTGAGACGAAGGCAGCGGGAGCTGTGTGGGCACAGGGAGCCCCAGCCCCCCCAGCACCCACCTTTGGGTCCACTCTGCTGCTGCAGGAGCAACTGCAGGGCACAGCGTGGCCAGGGAAGGACCCCTCCCTCCACGCCCTGCCTCCCAGGTGACGGATGCCACGGGCGGGACCCCAGGTAGGGGCAGCCTGGGTCTGCCCCTGGAGGTGATGAGGTGAATTCTGCTCTGTCTGCAACGTCCGCCCAGTCCTCTGGCCCTTCTCTGATGCCGGAGCCCCGCCCGACTGTGCCAGACCTGGGGAAGCACCTAGGTGCCCCGGAACCCGCAAAATCAAGACGGAGGAGGCTACGTCGAAAGCCCCTGTGTGTGCCTGTTCCAAAAACACAGAACCCCAAGGAGCCGTAACCTCAAGAGGTTATTTTGTCAGGAAGCCAGGCAGGCGCAGTCATTTAGAAAGCAATCGACACGCCTCCCGGGCGCTCCTGCCGCGGCCACCCGGAGCCAGCCGACCGCCCCTCACAAGGGCCTGGGGACCCGCAGGAACGGGACCTGCGGACCCTGGGCCGGAAGGATCTGGGAAGGAAGGACACCCCCCAGCCCACCCCCTCCCGTTGCTGGTGCTGAGAAGGGATTTCCAGACCCGCCCTGCGGCGGAGGCCTCTTACTTTTCCAGGGGCTCAAATCCCTCGGCCCCCCCGCAGGAATGAGGCCCAGAACTTTAAGGGGGGCCCGCGGGCCCCGGCTGCCAGTCAGAACCAGAGGCCCAGCTGAAAGATACCTCCTCCCCGGCTGAGGGAGGGGAGTTACAAATACTAACGGCGATACAAAACGGAACAATGGGTTCTCAAACTATTAGTGATATAAATACTGCAGCACACAACTGACAAACAACAAGGCAGACAGTACCCTTTGTTATCAACTCCATACTGGTAGGTAACTGACTCTCACAGAACGCTTTCGCTGATTTTTGCTGAACTCTTGTATTCACAGCCAACCCACGGTTGCAACTGACAAACAAGCGCAGTTCTGACCTGAACGTTGGATAATCCTCTCATTTATTTTAGCAAAGAGGAGGAAAGAGGGACCGCAGATTCCTGCAGAGGAGCAGCGGGTGTCTGGCAATGAGATGAGTGGTTGTTTTGCTGAACTGAACAGCCGTTTTTGAATCCTGGAAGGAATGTCCTCAATTTTTTGAGTTATTCACGATGTCACGGCTGCAGATACATGTACTTTGTTAGCACTTTCACTCTGTCAAATTTGCCAGTTTCCCCTGGTGTAAATACTCCAACCTTGGCCAGCAGTGATTGAACCGAATTGAGTCGGGAAGAGATTTAGCACACGATCGTGTTTCCACAGCTCAGACGGCCTCCCAGGCTCGGATGAGAGTAGAAGGTGATAAAACACTTAAGAAGGGGTGAGTTTCCGGGAGTCACTACCTTTGTTTTTGATACAAGGGCTCAGAGCTCCGAAAGGCACAGCGATCACTGGTGTGAGCAGCTCCAGGACGCCCTGCCCTCTCAGCCTGTGCCCTCAGGCGCCTGTCCGGGAGGGGGCTTTGGAGGCCGGGAGGTGCCCACAGGCAGGGCCCCTGGGGGGACAGTGAGGGCAACACCGGCCAGCTCACTCCAGAGACCGCTCCGCTCTTTATAAACTGTGACCTTCTCATTCCGTTGCTAAGAAGTCTAGGAGTTTTATTTTAAAGCCACAAATGGTTGTTTTGGCAGGTGTGAAAATGGGGGGAACACTGAGGTGGGTGTGCAGTTTTACAGGTGATGGGAGGGAGGCTTGTGCAGGGATGCAGGCTGGCCCACAGGTCCTGCCCGGGGGCTGTGCTGTCAGTGGGGCAGGAGCCGCTGCTGGGGTGGGGAGCCTCCCCACGGGGTCCCCGTGCCTATACGAGATCTGGATTTGCAGCTGTCCGAATGCCTTTAATGCCTGCCTAAAAGCCGTGCTTTAAGAGTTTCTATTTGCAACTTCTATTTTTAAATGCATCCCGTGTTTACATTGAAACTGCCCCAAAGACGCTTTCCCTAAAGAGCTGTAATCCCTGGAAGTGGAAAACCCACCGGAAGGCCTCGGGCTCCGCTCCCAGCCCTTCCAGGCAGGGTGGGGAGTGAGGTCACCTTGGTGGTGGGTCCAGCCCCCCCAGGACAGGACGGTGTGAGCCCCAGCGGCAAGCAGCCCTTGTGCCTTTGTGGGCCCTTCTCTCACAAAAACATATTAACAATCACATTTTACAGCCACACTGCTAAAGAGGCCGTGTAGCAATATTACATATTCGAACGTTTACTCTGATCTGAAAGTTAATTTTTTTTCTTTTCATTATAAAAGAGAGTAAAACACTTTTGCGGGCGCCTGAAAGTGCCAAGGGCCCTGGCTCTGCACCTGCGGTGCGGGGGCGTCGGGGTGGGGCTGCGGGGGAGTGTCCTGCGGACCTGTATCCTCGGGCGTTGGACAAGGTTCCGCGGTCTCAGAGGCAGGGCGGGGGACCTGCAGCCACTGCAGCCAGCTAGAGGACCTCACCCTGCAGACCTGGGCACCAGCCCGAACAAACAGGGGTTCCTAGAACCCACTGACTCCCCCTTTCTTAGCTGTGTGCCCACCCAGATGACAGAACAAGCAAGCGGGAACCACCCCAGGGATTGGCAGGTGACGTGCCCTCCGCCCGGCAGCCCCGCCCTGAGCTGCCCGCTCCCCTCGACCCTGGAGCCGACCCTGGAGCCGGCCTCACGCTCTGAAACTCGACCTCGATCTGGTGACCCCGAAGGCAGCTGGACAGCATGTCTGGAACTGAGACCTGGCAGAGGCCTGTGACCTGCTCTCACAGCCTCAGCTTTCTCAGCTATAGAATGGGTAGCTAAGGCCTGACTCCTGGCCCCACAGAGGCTCAGGTGGGAAGGCGGGAGCGAAGGATCTTTGTAAACAATTTCACGCTGAGAGGGCTCTTTTTGCCTGATGCTGTGGCAGAAGAGTGGAAGGGGCTTCCGTAACAGAGGGAATGCCAAGCCCTGGAAAGCCGCAGGGCAGCTGCAGCTGACCCAGAGGGCCGGTGCCAGGCACCGATCGCAGCAGCTCTGCCTGGGGTTTAAGGGAAAATTTTGGAACACCTTGGAAAGGTCTCGGGCTGCTTGACAGTGAAGGAGAAGAAGTGGCAAATGCAGCTGCCCTGGTACCTGTCCTGAGAGATGTCACATCCCACTGAGGCTGCCTGCACGCCACCTCCCACCCCGTTTCCTAGGCACTTTCTTTTCAGGAGAGAACGGTGACATTCACCTCCCGGCCAGGGGCATGGGGTGGGGGAGGCAACGTGAGGCTTCTCCAGGCAAACTTTGAGCAATGAGAGGGGCCTGGGGGCCCATCAGGTGAGCAGGAACCACAGCTCCGCTCAGCCTGCAGGGGCTCCTGAAGGTCACCCCTGCCAAGGCTGGAGGAGTCAGCAGGTAGAGGGTGGGGTAAGATCTGGGGTAATGGGACAGTTCATTCCTTGTTGGGAGTAGGCAAGGTCTGAAGGAGCAGAGGGAGCATCCTGTGAAACCCTCCACGGCATCCCTGAGAAGCGGTCAACCAGCCTCTGCTTGCATACCTCCTGAGACAGGGGGCTCACTACCCACATCACCCACAGACCGCTCTGTCTGCATGGAGACTCCCTCCTTATACGGGGCCAAAGTCTCATCTCCCTGTATGTCCCACCCACAGGTCTGTCCTAGGGACACAGAGAACCTTTTATTTGAAGGTTCCTCCCCCCCTCAAGACCTTTTATTTGAAGACAGTGGTCATCTCCCTGCTCCAGCTTTCTCTGTTAGCAAAATATTCCTGCTTTCATTTTGAGAAGTGCTTCCAAAACCCTCTCTAAAAATATTGAGCAATTTACCCACCACATCCTCAACCACACTGTGTATTATTAATCTTTTCAGCTTTTGCCAGTCGAAAACTTGCCCCGGGATACTGACTTAATTACATGAATACTAGTCAACACTTATACAGAGCACACCATGTGCCAATTATTGGTAGCTCCCATGTGGATTAACCCAATAAACACATGGGAAAGTAAGGCAGAAAGTTGAGGTCACTTGCCCAAAGTCACCAGCTAATAAATGAGCCATCCTCGGGCTGAGGGCAGGATACCCCAACTTGCTGGGGTTCCAGCCTAGGTCATGCTCTCCAGCCTGAACTCCTAAGCTCTCTGCCCCGTAATCCCCTGATGACAACGTCAAACATTGGTTTTTGGCTAACTGATCACTGGTATCTTCCACGAACTGACTTTATTTTCCATCATCTTACTTGTCTATTTTTCTTATTAAGTATTTTTCTTATTAATTAAAAAGCCTTTGCCTCTTTTGAACACTAACTCTGTTTGAGACAGGGCAAATATTTCTCCCAGCGAGGCGTTTGCTTTTGCTTGGCTATACGGGGAATTTTATTTTTTGTAGAGCTAACTGTAATTTTTCTTTTCACTTATGGCTTCTGAAAATGTCTTTTTTAGGAAGTTGTTCTTCATCCAAAATAGTCTTATTTTGTGAGAGGCAACCTATCGTATAGGAATAAAGCACTAGGGCACGGTCAGTGCTAAAACATATTCAAATGTATGAATGCATTTATAGGAATATATTCCTATACAAAACGTTGCCTCTCACAAAATAGAATTATCATAGACAACAAATGTATAAGTAGCATAATAAGCCTGTCAATCAGTAATACAGACATATTTATAAATACTGTAAATATGAAAGCGTCTTCAATTATTTTCTTCTAGTTTCCTCGTATCTTCTGAGCTCCTTACGTTCTGGGATTTACTTCTGTACGTGGCGTCTTAGCCATACGGCTGACCGTACGTTCCAGTGCCACTTACTGGGACAACAACCCGAAATACCTCTGCTGTGAAACATCACACTTATCAGGAATTAGAACTCCCAGATGTGTGTGTGCGCCTCTGATGGGAGTTCCCATGCCGTTTCGTTGGCTAATTTCTGTTTCCTACACCAGCGCCACTTTGTTTCCATTGCTGTCGCTTCACAGCAAATTATCAGCTTCAATTTCTTCAGTAATGCCATTTGGACTTTTTTTTTTTTTAACTGTTCACTTCACAGATTTGGGGGAGAAAGGTCTGCACCGTCCCACGTGCTCTGCCCCCACCATGCTCCCAGCCTGCCTCCTCCCCGGCCCTGCAGAGGGGCGGTCTGGGAGTCCGGCCCACCGCCCTGGCTCTGCGGGGTCTCCGGCAGGGCTTCTCCGTGCTGCACTCTCACCCACCCTCCTGGGCACCAGTCCTCCATCTCCCAGGCAGGGGTAGCTAAGGGTCCCCAAGCAGAACTGGACACACGCACCCCATCATCCTCACTGGAGTCTGGTCCCAGGTCGGGGTGGGGGCCCAGCACCCATCCTTGCCTGTGACCCACTCCTCCACACTCCCTGTGGCTTGGGACCAGGAAAACCGCCAGGGCCCAGGGAGACCAGTGCCTGCCTGGCTCCGTGTCTGCCCACCAGGCAAGGCGGGCACTTCTCTGCTTGGGGAAGCCCGGAGCTTGCGAGGGTGGCGCTGCCTTCTCCCTGCCCAGGCCAGGAGGCTTTTATGCACTTTGTGAAAACAAACAGTACTTCCTAGAACTGTCAGGCCCCTGAGCCCTAAGAGGTCCCACGCCTGGCTTTGGAACCACAAGCCCCTGGCGGGCATCTCTCAGGGCCTCCCCGCAGTGGCCAGGAGGCCCAGGCAAAGCCATGCCTTTCGTGTCCAGTCCTGTCTGTCCTCAGGACCGAGGCCTGGGCGCACCTTTCCATAAGACCTCCCCGCAGGGGTTTCTCTCACAGGAAGATGAGAGCCATCCAAACACGGAGGAGGAAGCGTCTCTGGACTTAACTGTGTGTCTGCGGCACATTCAGTAAGTGGCTTCTGTCCACGAGTCGGGAATGAGATGTGAGGCCTTCCGCCAAGATGGGGACGCATCAACCAGCCCTGAAGAATTAAGGGAGGTGAACAAGGGCCCCCAGAACCCCCCCACGTGAGCGAGAGCGCTCTTGAGAAGCCCCCGATGCTGAGGGGCGACCCATCCACGGTGAACCTGACGCCCAGAGGTGGGGCTGGTGTCAGGCCACACCGACCCAGACCCCGAGCTCTCCCCGGGCCTCGTGGCCTCCTTCCCGCCAGGTCTCTTGCCTTCACCTGCGGGTTTAAGGGAAGGAACAGAGCCTGTCACCAGGTGAGACCAGGGCAGAGGTCACCAGGGAGGTGGGGTCTGGCCCTGCGCCCCGGCCCTCCTCCGCCAGCGAGGATGAGAACAGGCTCGAGCCCCCGCCCCCTGCTTCTCCCCGAGGTGAGAGGTCAGAGTCGTGGGGCGCGTCCCGCCCACAACCCCACGGTCAGTGGGGTGTGCCCCCCCAGGCCAGCACGCCACCCGCGGGCGTCAGCTATGGCCCGCCTGCCCCTCACTGCTGCTGCAGGACCTTGCTTGGGCTTCGAAACGCCGTGGTGCAGTCCGGGGACACCAGGGAGACTGGTGATGGACGCACATCAGCACCTGGGCCCAACTTTGTCCTCAGGGGCCTCTCCGCCTGCAGTTCGAGGGAGGCCCGGGAGCCAGCCGTCGGGAGGCGCAGAGGGAGAGCGCCTGCTTCACCTGGGACTCACTCTCACCAGGAAAAAGCTGCACAGGACTGAGCCTTCTCTTGAGCAGTGGGCTGGGGCCACAGGACAACCGCTGGCCCAGAACCCAGCGGGCAGGCCGTCCTGGCAGAGAGAGAGGGCCGCCCGGGGCCGCCCTCCCGCGGGGGTTCTCCACAACCTCACAGAAGGCGCTGGGCAGATTTTCAGCAAGTGTCCCTCGCGGTGTGGACCCGAGACAGAGCAGCAGCCACTGTGTGGCGGGAGGGCAACACCTCCTCTGGGAAGCTTCTCCCCCCATTCCCTGCGGGACAAAGACATCCTGCCCTCGGGGCTCTGCAGGGATGCGCCAAGACGCCCACGCCCCAGGACAGCGCCACAGGAGACGGGGTGAATCAAACCACGGACAGTGGCCCCCAAAGCCAGGCTACAAGCGTCTGGCAACGAGGCCTGTTTGCTGGTGGGAGACCCAGCCGCACAGCCCACCACCAGCGCCTCGCAGCTGAGGTGCCCACGTCCACCCAGTGACCCCACAACCTCACTCCTGGGCAGCCATCCCCAGACACACCTGCACACGTAGGAAACGATGCAAACTGGCCAGTGACTGCACAAGGCTGGGGACTACTGGGGCCAGCAACAGGGAGCAGGGCCACCCACACAAGGAGTGTCCTTGGGGCCTCCGCTCGGCTTTGGAGGGAAGGGTGGCGTTGGGCCCACTTCACTGGAGACCGCCCAGGTGCCTGTGGCGTCCTGACCCAGGTGTCGGGCTGCACGCACGCGCACCATTGGGGTTCCTCCTCCTGCTCCTCTCGAGTGGGGACCAGCCTGGCTTCCATCTTTCCATGTCCTGAGAAAATCCTTCAGTGCCTCTGCCTGCCCAGCTGTGTTCACACCCGCTGCACGCTGCACAGACCCACTTCCTGCAGCTCCATCCAAACTGCTGGAATGATGTCCAACAGGCCCAGCCGGGGTTCCCTTCCGGGCAACGCCAGTTCAGAGGAGCCTTGGGGAAGGTCCTCCAATGCAAATCCAAGACACGCTTCCACATCTTGCCCCGGGGAAGCAGAAACCTTCTCGTGGTACTGGACGCACCCTGCAAGCCCCCGCCAGGCTCTCTCACCTCGCCATGGTGGCAGAGCTGAGGCGGCGGTGGGGCCCACACAGCTCTCCTCTCGCTCAGAGGGGCCCCATTGTCCCTTCACAGCCACGTACCACCACTCATAGATGTCAAACAGGGAGAGGGACCCAGTTGTTTGTCATCCAAACCAGGATATGACTGCAGGTGTGTGTGTGTGTGTGTGTGTAGGGGGGTGAATTAATAATCATGCCTCGAAAAAAGGCACAGCCGCCACTGTCCTGAGCGGATCAGGACCCAAGGCCCCTTCCGAGAGAGACGCAGCCCCGCATACAGGAGGCAATAAGCCCCGCACACCAGCGGTCACGGCGGAGTCTAGCAAGAGAGCCCCAGCGTGCACCTGCTGGCGTCACCTAGCAAAACACTGGCTTTGATGACGATTTTAAATGGCAGACTTAGGTGGGTTTTTTTGGTTTGTTAAGTCGTGGTGATAGTCATGCGAGAAGCTTTTCCTGAGAATAGAACAGGAAACCTGAGAGGGCAGCGGAGAACACAGCAGATGCTGTGAATGAGCTGACAGTCCGCGGCAGAAAACTGGCGCAGGCAGGATGTCCCCAGAGGTGCCTGACTCACTTGGGGCGGTGGCAAGGGGACCCCACAGCCGCAGGGCATGCTGTGCCGGCAGCAGTAGGGGCAGGGTCAGGGCGCCGGGAGCCTGGTGGGGGGAGTAGGCACCTCGACCGCACACTTGATCACAAAGCCCGTCTGGCTGGGGCAGCCTCCCCTAATTTATAGACTTCACTTTCTCCTGAACCCCATTTTCTTACCAGAAAGACCACCTTGCATGGTTTAAGAAGCTGATAATCAATCTGGAACTCAGCTTTAAATGTGGACTTGAAGACCAGGGTTACAGTTTAAAAAGCCATTTAAATGCCTGTTCCCTCTCAATTGAAAACCAGTCCTCCCACGCTCCCTCTGTGAAAACGCGTGCAAGGAGCCCAAGGGGGTCTCCAGGGGCTCCGGCCGCCCTCCTGTAAAGCCGGCGTGACTGCTCTTACCAGACACTGCGCAGACAAGCACGAGAGCTTCTATTAACAAAGTGCATCACAGGACAGAGCTATGCTCAGCGCCCCGGGGCAAGGGCTCACGCCGGGCACCGGACGGGTGGGGGTGCCGTGGGGGTGCCGGCTCTGGGACTCGCCCTCCCTCGCCTGCTTTTCTGCACCAGCCTCTGCAGGAGGCGCACAGGGCGGGCAGGGGTGGGCCCCGGGGGAGGCAGGAGGGCGGGGGTGGGGAACGACCTCTGCTTCTCAGGGTGTGGACCAGAGCACCCTGAACCGGGAGTGGGAATCCCTCCCGCATGGTGGCGCCTGGCACGTGCCTCCCTGGAGCCCGTTGCTGCTGGAAGCTCAAGCCAGCTCGTCAGTCCAAGCCCGAGACTGCTGACCTCAAGCCGCTTGTTCAAAAGCTGGCAAAGGTCCCGCTGCCTGTCCTCCCACTCGTGCGCCGCGCAGCGCCGCCACATCAGCAGGCACAGCGCAGGCCGCTCAGGGAGGCTCGGGGAAGAAGGCGGGTGCATTTTAGGCGCACTTGTCAACAGAAAAGTTCCAGACCCTCAAAATCCTGAATTGCACTCAGTGTCAGTAGAGAACGTCATCTCTCTTCACAGATTCCAGTTATTACTGATTTTTTACATCGCTAGAAAACAAGTGTGACTGTCAAGGTGGGAAGCGCAAATGCTAGTCTGAAATGTTAGTGTTTTCAAAGGCTGATGCCATTTCTTTTAAATATAAATTAGCATCAGCTCAACTTTTAAACTAAAATTTCTAAAGTATGACTTCAGTACTTCCTGAAAACTTATAAACCAAAGTAGAGGGGAAAACTGAATAATCCCATTTGTGTATTTTATCAAAACAATACCATCAGGACTTGATGCGTCTCTGATGAGACACAGCAGTGACCACACGGAGACTTTCTAAAGCTTCATGAATGATCCTAAAACTTCTGACAAATGCTTGCCTGTCTTATAAACCTTCAAACAGAAAAGGGTCGTCACAATATGAGCAAAGATAAATTTCCCTGAACTTTCTTCGAAGAAAAACAAACTGCACACATTTGAAAATACAAAAAATCCAAATGCTTTTAAATGCTTTTTTCCAGGTGTGAACTGAACTGTACAACCCATACACTTAATAGAAAAAATATGTGATTATTTTTAATGATTTATGTATAAAAGAAAAATAAATTTTATGATACAATTTGATAGACTACTTCATACAAAATTTTACTCACATACAATGTATGCAATTTTTTGCAACACAAAAATTCTAGTCTTACGTACAAATTTATAAAAGGCAGACATCTTAACCTGAAGTGAAACAGGCTCCCTGTGGGGCTGCAGCGAAGTCATTCCAGCCAGGAGAAAAGAGACACAGACACGAAAAGGTGCGCAGAGGGCTTGGTCCTCCTCCCCCCCTGAAGTGCATTTAGGATCATCGACCAGACAGACCGTCGTGGGCACCACAGGAAGGCGGGAAAGCCGGCGCTTCAACATGGCAGATCTTACGATCTGGTCTTGGACGCACTCAGCCTAGAAAACCCTACAACTGCCTTTGTAAGGGATCTGTTTTGGAAATTACTCCAAGAAAACCTAACCACGCCACCTGTGCTTGTCTTTGAGGAAACAAAACATTCTCAGGCAATCTAACACTTAAAATGGCACACCTTGGGTTACATAATAAATACGGCATCTAGCAATAAAAGTATCAGGAACCAGACCTTAAGACCCGTAAGTATGTCTCCAAACTGTGAAATCCTTTATACACAAATTTAAGATTTTAGTAAGTATTTACAGTATCATACGTAGTGAAAAACTAAATATAAACCATTAACAAAAAAACTTCTGCTTTAAAAAACAACTTCCAAAAAAATAGGAACATCAAAAAATTTTGTAATCGGTGCATTCTTTTAAGTCTTCCTTTGCGGTTTCCCCTAAGCTACCTGTCTCTCAGGTGCACAGGTGCTTACGCCTGCGCAAGGGAAAGGCATGATGCCGACGCCCCGGCGAGCAAGCCCCTCCTCCCGCGGGAACCAGGACGCCCGCCAGCTGCACTCGTAGGCCCGGGGGAGACCCAGGGGCAAAATGCTGAAGACAGTGAGGATACAGCCTGCGACAATCTCATGCCCAATGTCCGTGAAGGCCATTATGAAACCTCCTTTTGAAATTCATGAACTTTAAGGGCTGGAAATATAAGCAAAAGATAATAGGGGCCAATAAGAAAATTACATAAAGAAGTGCCTGCAATTACAAAGAGATTAAAAGTTCACATCTACCTGATATGGGCTGATATCAACCCTTCTCAAGTGGGAAGGAGCTAAAAATACAACTCATTCCTTTTCAGGCCTCATTCTATTTATGACGTTCGCATCAGAAAGGACAGCCATCCTTCACTCAGTGCTTGGCTCCCGGAAGTCCTGTCCCCCGGCCAGAGACTGAAATCGAGGACTCCTGCCTTGGTGTGCCAGCACCACTTACCTGCGAGAGAATTCTGGTTCAGAATGAACAGAACAGGCCTCCGCAGAAACACAAAGAACAGGAAAGTTGTAAAGAACCTCCTCACACAGCCATTTTGAAGAGCTATTTATAACTAGCAAGGGCTCCAGCTGGAGGACGGGAGGAGACGCGGCCTCTCGCACACCGAACACGCCTGGCGCTGCGAAGCTCTGCAGCTCGCTGGGGAGCGTCGTCAACGGTTCGTCCTCCTCAGAGGGGAGCTCGAGGAGTCACGGCGTCCCCGGCTCCTGGCACCTTCCGACTGAGGACGACCGCTAGGCTTTGCAACTTGGAGCTTTCACCTTCTGGAACTCAAATTGATACTGTACACCATTTTCTGAATTTTCTCTTCATTCTTTAGAACGTTGGCCTTCACAGCGCAGATCCTGTCCTGCTGGTCTCTAACCAGCTGCTCCAGCTCCGCCAGCTCCGCCTTCAACGGCTCCACCGCAGCGTCTGTGATGCTGGCGGGAGACAAAAGCAGGGGTGCGTAAGGGTCCTTCTGTTTAGATTTGCTTCTTGATAAAACGGTGAAAGACAATGAGAGTAAGAACAGGGTAAGAACATAAACATACTAGGATAATGATACAAAGGGGGAAAAACCTCACACCTGGGAAAAATCTGTTTCTTATTTTCACAATCCCTGCCACAAGCAAAAGTCAAGTCGAACATGAAATGTATACAAAGGAGGTTAACACTCTCAAAGGAGGGGCTGAAAGTCCCGAGTTCACGTATGCTGCCCAGAGCCCGGGGGCCATCGACACCACGAGCCCCGCCTTCCTCGCGGGGCCCCCACTTTCCTCGCAGGAACCCGGCCTCCAGGAGAGGCTCACCAGCTCCAGGGGCTTCCAGCTGAGGCCCCTCTGCCTCACGTGTTCAAGACAAGTCAGGAGGCCCTTCAGTTCCTGCGTTAAATGCTAGGAAAAGTCTAGAAATTACTTGGGAAAGCTGAGGCCAGAAGTAACCTCTCCCTTTAGTGTTCATAGAGCATATAAACACAGAATAAAATACAGCAAAAAACAGAGATAGTTTCCAACCATCATACCATAAAGCAAAATCAGGTTTCGTAAGGAAGAGACGTCTGCGGTGGCATTTTTTAACACCTTAAATCAAAATTTAAGAAGCGCTAACAAACAATCATGCCAGAAGAGGCACCAAAAGCTCTCCATGACTTTCTACTTCTGTCAAGCTGTATATTTTAACATTTACTTAGGGGACTTTTTAAGAATAAGCAGACTAATAATAAAGAGTAGACCTTCACCATAATGTGCTTTTAATTATATGGACTTAGAGCTGTATCATTGAGTCCAATCGAGTGTTTTCTAAAACAAACTGTTAACAGGTGATATAGTTACATGCGCCACAGATTCACTGATTAAAAATAGAGATTATCAAACACTTTCCTAAAATAAATCTCTTTTTAGGGGCCATCACATTTCTGTTATGGCATCCTCTTCAAAATGGGTTCACCAGCATTTCTTTTAGAGCACAAAATTAAAATACTTTCAAATTACAAACACTTACAAAATTTGGGGGATTTCGATAAGACACAGAGAAACTATGGTATCCAAACCGCAAATGTTCCTATCTTTTTAAATGTCTAAGTCTACTTTGTTTTTTATTTAATCAGTCTTCTTTGGGGGGTGTGGGGGAGGTAATTAGGTTTTTATTTAATTTATTTTTAATGGAGGTGCTGAGGATTGAACCTAGGGCCTTGCGCATGCTAAGCACACGCTCTACCACCAAGCTACACCCTCCCCTATTTTGCTTTTGAACAATGACTGCAGATCTTTTCTAATTGCTACGAAGAAATGCACTATAGGATCTGAATGAAAAAGAAGCGTGCTTCCTTCCAGGCAGGAGGTAAGAGAGGGCCGAGAGGGAGTGGTTTCCAGGGAGCTCTCTCCCCAGGCCCCGCGCCCCCCCCACCTCTGCTCCTTCTGCAGGGCCTCAGCGTGCTGCATGTTCTCGGCGCGCCACAGCTGCAGCTCGTTCTGCATGGCGTCCACGTCCTCCTGGATGTAGTCCATGATCTTGCCCAGGGGGAGCGCGCTGCGGCACAGGGTCTGGGTGGACACACGGAGCCTCTCTATCTCCTTGGAGACTATGTCCTTCTCCTTCTTCCACGCCAACTCAAAGACCAGCAGCTTGTCCTATAGTCAGTGGGGAGGGACGAAGAGAGAGAAACCCCCTCACTCTAAGGCAGGACGGCGCGGGGGTGGGGACAGAGCCGGCTCAGGACCCCGGCCGGGTGCGCAGGTCAGCAGTGCCGGCCAGGGGCTGCTCCTGGAGGGCTGTCCGAGGGCCACACTCCTCTACGGCAGGATGTTATTTCCCAACTGACCACTTACTGCGGTTGTTACTACAGAAGCTCAAGGACCGTGATGACTTTCCCCAACAGCCTGGCAGAAAGGGGCCCTGACCCTGCACTTCGCTCCCTGAACACCCCACCTTTCCCACCTCAAACGCTGAAACCCAGTTTGCCAAGGAGGAAAGCAACCTGCACTAGAAGCAGAGGCCAGGGAGGTGGACGGGGGGGGGGGTGCAGAGGGCGTGGCTGGCAGACCCCCGGGGCTGCGGCGCAGGGCCCCGGGGGAGGGGCGCACACAGCAGCAGGTGAAGGCGGTGAGGATACAGAGGCGAGAACCTCATCCAGTTTCCGCCAGGAGCTCCAGGGCTCCTTGACAAGCAATATTTAGAGTTCTCTTCACGTGAGATTTTGATACAGGCGTCTCTGAGTTTCAAAAACTGATGTCCGAATCAACCAGCAGTTTCAACTGGGAAACCTTTCCTGGGAGGATAACACCGTTTCGGAAGCCCGCCCTGGCGCGCCCACGCCACACAGGCTGGCTGAATGCCCCTGTTCTACCCACTGACAGCATGAGTCAGATGCGCTAAGTCAAAATTAATCAACTTCTTGTTTTATTTTTACACTTGCTTTATTACGTTGCATAACCACTTGCGTCATGTCTAATTCCAGTTTCAGACTACAGACCCCAGGAGGGCAGGAATATTTCAGACTGTAGACACCTTAAGTATCTCCCAAATGAACAGATGAAGTGCATTAGTAATTCATGTGTCAAGATCATAGTTCCACCGCCTCCTGGCCTTTGGCAAACACGTGGGAAGCCTTAACATAATGCCTGACACACGGTGTCAACCGGGACTAGAAGTAACAGGCAGAACTCACAGAACTAGGAGTGAGTGCTGCAAGGCTGCGGGACACAAGGCACACCTACAAAAACCAATTCTGTTTCCATTTGCTGGCAACAAACACATAAGTACAAAAATTAAAAATACAATGCCATTTACAGTTGCTTAGAAAAAGAGAAATGCTAGGTGTAACTCTGACAAAATATGTATGTAACTTGTACACTGAAAACCACACAAAGCGGATGAAATAAGTCAAGGAGGGTCTAAACGAGAGCCAAACCGTGCTTGTCCACCGCAAGATTCACTGCAAGATTCAAGCCGTCACTTCTGCCCAAAATGATGTACAAGTTTAACACAACTCCTGCCCAAATCCCAAACTGCAGATATGGACGCGATTAGACTAAAATGTATACAGAAAGGCAAAGGAACCAGCATGGCTAAAACACTCCGAAAAAGAAGAAATGAGAGGGCGGAATCAGGCTACCCACTTCCTGGTCTTGTCATTCGGCTACAGCAATCAAGACAGTGGCGCTGGCAGGGTGGACGCCCAGGCCAGTGGCACAGAACAGAGAATCCAGAAACAGACCCTCACAAACACGGCCCATGGCTTCTGACCCAGGTACCAAGCGATCCAGCCGAGGAAACACAGCCTTTCAGCATACACGCGTGGGAGCCCCTGGACGGCCACGGGGGGAGAAAATGAACCTTGCTTGACCTATGTCCCACACCTCATACAAAAATCAACTCAGAATGGATCACAGACTTAAATATAAAGCATAGAACTATAAAACTTCTAGGAAAAAAGTTGGAAGAAAATCCTTGGGATCTAGGGCCAAAGATTTCTCAGATTTGACGTCAAAAGCGTGATCCCCTAAAGGGAAAACCGTAAGTGGACTCTTTCACAATTAAGTCTGCTGTACAAGAGACCCTGCTGAGTGGACGGAAAACAAACTAGAGGGTGAGAGAACGCATGTTCAAAACACAGACCGGACAAAGGACCAGTGTCTAGAATATCAAAACTCTCAAAAGCCAACGGTAAACGGCAAAACGGCAAATAATCCGATCAGAAAATGAGACCACACACAGAAACAAGCTCCAAGTGGCTTAAAGCCTTACACGTAAGACACGACACCATAAAACTCCCAGCAGAGAACACGAGCAAAACATTCTCTGACATAAATCACAGCGACGACTTCTTAGCCCGGCCTCCCAAAGCAAAAGACATAAAAGCAAAAATAAACAAATGGGACCTAATCAAACTTGCAAGGTTTTGCACAGCAAAGGGAATGACAAAGAAAATGAAAAGATAACCTATGAAATGGGAGAAGATATTTGCAAATGATGCGACATACAAAGGCTTAATTTCCAAAACATACAAACAACTCATACAGCTTAATATAAAAAATAAAACCCAATCAAAAAGTGGGCAGAAGACCTAAACAGACATTTCTCCAAGGAAGACACACAGCTGGCCAACAGGCACATGAAAAGATGCTCTACGCAGCTAATTATCAGAGAAATGCAAATCAAAACTACAGTGAGGCATCACCTCACAGCAGTCAGAATGGCCATCATCAAAAAGTGTGCAAAGGACAAATGCTGGAGAGGGTGTCGAGAGAAGGGAGCCCTCCTGCACTGCTGGTGGGGGTGTAAATTGGTGCAGCCCCTATGGAAAACAGTACAGAGGTTCCTTTAAAAACTAAAAATAGAGGTACCATATGACCCAGCAATCCTACTCCCAGGCATATACCTGGAGAAGATACGACTCCCACGCCGTCATTTGAAAAGACACCTGCACCCCAATGCTCATAGCAGCACTATTTACAATAGCCAAGACATGGAAACAGCCTAAACGTCCATCAACAGATGACTGGATAAAGATGTGGCAATGTATATACAATGGAATACTACTTGGCCATAAAAAAGAACAAAATACAGCAATTTGCAGCAACATGGATGGATCTAGAGATGATCATACTAAGTGAAGTAAGTCAGAAAGAAAAAGATAAATATGATATCACTTACATGTGGAATCTAAAATAATACAAATGAACTTATTTATAAAATAGAAACATACTCAGAAAACATAATTTTGGTTACCAAAGGGGAAAGGGGTGGAGAGGGATAAATTAGGAGCTCAGGATTAGCAGATACAAACTACTATACACAAAACAGATAAACAGTAAGGACCTACCGTATAACACAGGGAACAATATTCAGTACCTTGTAATAACCTACAATGGAAAAAAATCTGAAAAAAGAATATGTGTGTGTGTATAAGACGGAATCAGTTTACTGTACACCTGCAACTAGCAGAACACTGTAAATCAACCATACTTCAATTAAAAAATAATAGATTCAAAAAAATTAGAAAATTGGCCAAAAAAAGACGTTTCACCAAAGATACATAGATGGCCAACAGTCACATGAAAAGATGTTCAAAATCATTACCTACTAAGGAAATGCAAACTAGAACCACATGAGATATCACTCCACACCTATCAGAATGGCTAAAACAAAAAGCAGTGACCACACCAAATGCTGGTAAGGATGCAGGGAAACTGTACCCCTCACTCGTGGCTGGTGGGAATGTACAATGGCACAGGTGCTCTGGAAACTAGTTCGGCTGTTTCTTTAAAAACTAAACGTGCAACTGTCATACAACCAAGTAGTCGCATTGCTGGGCGCTTATTCCAGAGCAGTGAAGCCATGCTTACGTAAGAACCTGCATAGGTTTGCTTGTAGAAACTTTATTCAAAGCGGCCAAAAGCTCGACAACCAGGTGCCCTTTAACACGTGAAGAGCTAAATAAACGAGACTACCTCCATATTGTGGACTACTACTTGGTGACGGAAAGGAATGGACTGCCGAGTCACACAGCAACCCGGACAGACCTCCAGAGAGCTTTGCTGAGTGACAGCTACCAATCTCAAACTTTATGTGCTGCATGATTCCATTTATAACGTTCTTAAAATGATAAAATTATAAAAAGAGAGAACAGATTAGTGGCTGTCAGGGGTTCAGGACGAGGTGGGCTGGCAGACAGGCAGTGGGTATGGTTACAGAAGGGCAACAAGAGGGACCCTTGTGATGATGGAGAAGTTCTGTATCTTGACTGTGTCAAGGTCACATTCTGGCTGTGATACCGTACTCGGTTCTGCAGGATGTTAGCAGTGGGAAAACTGAGTCAAATGTCCCTGGGATCTCTCTATTATTTCTTACAACTGCATCAGAATCTACCATTATCTTAAAATAAGTTTAATTAGAGAAAAAAAGGTAGTGGCTATAAAAATGCCTTTAAATTAAAATGCTAAATAACTAAAAGAATTGGTATAATAATAAACTACTTTCCAGGAAAAACTGTATTGTCTTTATAATGCTGACTGACTTAGTTGATAAATTTTAAATTCTGTTTAAACCCATTCACAATGATTAGGTAATTCATATGTATTTGGTATCGTGTTGACTCTAACACAAAACTGTTCAGGGTATAGAACTTAGGGTGGAGACTAACATTCATAAATGTCTTATAAAATTGGCAAGTCACAATGTGGATGAAGACACTAAGGTGTCATCTGCCAAACCCCTTCATATTTCTGTGCCACAGAACCACACAGAATCTGGAACACTAATCTTAAAGTTTTTCATTTTACTTTTAAGAGGCTAAGAATTTAAGACAAGATACATTTGGGCCAAGATTATGATAGTCAGGAGAAGCTTTTAGTGTTGCTGCAAACACGCTGCTGCAAAATTACCTAAATTCTGGCATTTTTCAGACTTTCATTTAAACTGGAGCAGCGGGTGGGGTGGGAAGTCAAGCTCTGACCGTGCGCTTCAGAGAGCGCACCCCACGACAGCAGGCTCCGCTTTACGCGCGGCTCGTCCTGCGCGCCAGCGACTTCCCTGCAAACACAGCCATCATAAACCCTCATTTTACAGACTTCGTATGTACAGCAAAATTTGAGAATCTACCACCATGCTCACCACACAGGACTCAGTC